CCTCAATGACCTCCTGTTGCTTCTGCAAATGTTTGGCCAATCTTCGATTCCGTTTTCTCAGCGTGCTTTGCAGTTGAATAGCCTCATCAAAAGCTGTTTGGGCATCCCTACATCGGCTGAGCATGTGAAAGGCAGAGGAATCCGAAGTAACAGACTCATCGTCATGTTCCCCACCCCCACCAATAAGCGCGAGGGAGTTCGCCCAAATAGGAACAATGCCAGTCCGTCCACCTGTCACGTCGAAGTACCATCCCAGCGCCGGGTCTGCTTCTGGGGGAAAACTGAAATAGCCCAGAAGAATGGATCTCACCTTTTCAACTGTGTACTCATCGATTCCCAGCAAACCAGCAATAGTGGAGGGCGAGCTTTCAGGGATGAAATGCATCGGTTTGATCTTCCAACTCACAAACTTGCCAACAAGAGCTTGTTGATCCCCATCAGAAACATGCATGGTGGCCAAGGCAACAGCATCCTTGACATCTCTTTCATCTTCCTGATCGAGAAATTGTTTGGCCCTCGTCTGTTGAACAGCTTTGCCCATGAGCTTCCGACACGCTGTTTTAAGGCTTAGGACTTGGGCTTCAGACATTTTGGTGAGCGTCATAACAAAACGGGTTTTCTCAGCCAGAATCTGTGCATAGGTCTGATACCGATTTAATGGAAAAAGGTCCCTAATTTCATCATTGAACGGCGTGAGCTGCAAATACTGCCCCAATCTCATAAGGTCCAAAGGTACCTCCTGTTCAAGCATACCCCCCTGTAAAGATCTTTTGCGAGGCAGGGCTGGTCGTCCATCGATGCCCAGCATAGGCTCGTCCTTCTTCCACACCTCAACCCGTCTTATGCGGGGAAGAGGGGGCCGGGGATCTGTGTCTTCAACATAGATCTTCTTGTGCTTGCGCCTCTTCCTCTTGTGAGGCCGATCATCACCTCCACTCGTCTTAGCAGGTGGCGGGGTGCCCTCACGAGGCCGCTCAGAGGTTGGAGCCATGGTGAATGTCCGGGTGACTGCGAAGTGGACCTTCATGCACCGGCGGTCCCTGCCGTGCTTCCTCCACGCTGACTCTCTTTTCGTGGGCTCCTCACGTTGATTGCTCTGCAAAAAGGCTTCGTCATCGGTGGAGTAGTAGGAGTAGTCGTCTCCACCGCCTCCGCAAATATGACGGGTAATCTCCATGCCACTTGCACCAAGATAGGCCAAAAAGCAAACCATAAAGAGAAAAAGCCTGAGACTGCGCCATTGCACTTTGTACTCTGTACTCCATAGTCCAGCTCCGCTGATATCTCTCCTCAACCGCGGCAAAGGGCGCCTCCTCGGGAGCGGGGTCCGAAGACTATTATGAAGCGGCCTCCCCCCGGGGGAGCGGGATCGTGACTTAAATCGGATCCCTCGCTGCCAAGTTGGCGCGTCCGACAAACTCCACACTTCTCCCCAGCCTCGATATCCATCGGAACCCGAGGCCTGATCCACAACATCAGCTACCTCTTCACTTCCCTGCAGCTCCTCATGTTCTTTGCTTTCTTCATATTCCTCTTTTTCCACAAGGACTTCTTCCATCTCTTCCATCTCTTCTTTCACTTCCTCTTCACCTGCACCATCAACCTCTGGGGGCTGAAGAAAACCCCAAGGCTCCAAGCCTAGTCTCCGACATTTGGCAGCAAATATCTCATCTCGGACAATCTGCTCATGTAGCACACAATATCCATATTGCCAAATCATCCTGTAGTCGTGCGGACCACGAGCCCAATAAACATTGTACAGAAGTTCCGGTGGAATGTCCTGGCCCACCAAATAGACCCCATTGGTTGATTTGTACAAGGGCATCTCTGCATCCAGCAATTGCTGAACATTCACTGCAACCACCAAATCACAACCCGGCCTCATACCTGATTGGCCATGGTTCACAAAATAGGTAGTGCTGAAATGCACGTGTTGCCTGTGACCACATCGCAGCCCCTGACGTCTGATGGACCCCCACGCCGCCAAATAAGTGCCATGAAATAAAGTGGGCTGATCCACCTCATCCGGCGTTGTAATCTGGCGATGCATCTCATTGCTGAGGTCCAACTCCTTGTTGTGGCCTTGGGTTGCGCGAATAAGCCACCCATCTTCTCCTTGATGTACCTCAAATCTGCCCTTCTCATCCCGATTGACCGCTAAAAGCACGCTGTCGATCGAGGCATGTGGCTTTCTGGCCAAAATATCCTCCACCTTCACGTATCCCTCACTGTCCATTTCAATACCCTCCTTATCTGCTCCATGCCGAAGAACGAAAGAAAGGTATCTGCTGATATCATACGTAACTCCAGGAATGTCACCAAACTGTGAGTTGCTCCTCCCTTTCTTGTGACCTTTGCCACCTCCACAAAGATCTCCAGAAGGATTCGTGCCTCCGCTATCTTCCATATCTCCAAGCTCGACACAAGGGACACACAAGTCAAGAGGCGATCTCTTGTAGGCTTCCCATGAAACCTCACGATTTTCAAACCAAAAGCTGTTCTCAAAGTGGTCGCTCCAGAGCCTGAGGACCAATGGCTTGATCTCCTGATCCTGGGTTGTGGGCAAAAACCTCACCACTTGTCCGAAGTGATTGAAGTTGCACTTACCACTCACGTTGACCACCCAAATTTCTTGGCGAAGAAAATTGGCAGTAGCCTGAATAGCCTCTTCATCAGCCCATTTACCACCTGCTTTGTGCTTCTCCTTGGTTACCTGATTGGCCTCCATGAGCACTTGCCTTTTGGTCCTCCTCCAGCTCCTGGCATGCCCAAAACGAAGTTGGCTCACAGCGTACCAAAAACAGTTGCCGCGCCCAGCATTGTTCAAGGTTCTCCCTTTCACTGAGCCATACGTCGCCAAAGGGCCTTCCAAATCACGTCCAAACTTGTCCAGGTCAATGTCCAACCCGCCAAGCTGCTCATCTTCTATACCTCTTATACTGCAAACTCGGCCAAGAAGCTCCCAGAGACGGAATACCACCTGAAACCATCCCCAAAAGAATAAGGCCACGCCCATCCAGCCAAGCAGAAGTCTCACGCCTCCAAGGCAGCTTCCATGGCCGAGGCCCACCGAGGGGCCAGGACTCACATTCAATCTGGTTGAGCCATATGAAGGAAGCAGCGGTTCTGCATGTCCCAGATAAATGATCACTGCATATCCGGGGGGCTCGTTGCAAGGAACATTTCCATGAATAAACCAATCCAGGGCGAGGGTACATAACACCCATAACATCACAAAAATAGGGAGCCGAAAGGGTATCCAAGGGGTCAGCCGACATCTCCCTTGCACCCAAATGCGACACCCGGCCTGTATCTCATCCAATTCACGAAGAATAATCACAAATAGATAGTCCAATACTGCAGCTCCTCCACGAAGAAATCGGCATATGGACAAATAAAGAATACCAATGGCACCGATGACGAGGTACTCGAAGACCGCATCAATAGGTCGCTCTCGAAGAAGAATACATACCAATACCCAGCAATAATCATAGATACCAAATAGCACCAATTCATCTCTGCAGTCCTTATTGATCCTCACTCTGCTCCAAATGAGGGAGATCCAATAAGCCGCTTTACCAGGAGAGATACAAATACCATTCCAAACCACCAAGAACATCTTTGAAAACAGACCAACAAAAGAATAGTCACCGCCAACTCGGGATTCCTCCTGAACCCCCCCATCTACATCTCCAAAGGATATGGAAAACATGAGAAAGTTGACCAGAAAGGCCAACATCAACCCCCGTCCCCAAATCTGTAACTGTCCGGGTGATGGGGCCATGACCAAGGAGGGGTCAGGTCCTACCGAACAGCTAACAGCTGTCACCGCGGGAAGGCTTGAGGCTGAAACAGCTGTTTTGATTCTGGCTCAAGTCATCTTGATGAACTGGACAGGGCGCCAGGTGTTGCCGGTCCCGGCGCAGGCCTTGCAGGGCAACAGGGCGCCCAAAGCGGCGCCCATGCCCTTGCACTGCACACACTGACGCACCTGAGGCCAGGGGGGGGTCTCTCGAAATGGAAACCGGGAAATTCGGGACCCGAGAACGGCGAGTTGGAGCCCGGGACCCAAAATTCGGGACCCAAATTGGAGTCCGGGGCCTCGGGTTTCCCTTTGGTCCGTCTTGAAAAGTCCAACCAGCAGACGTGTGTGAAGATGGGGGGGGCTCAAAATGGTGGCTGTCCTTTCGAGCAATCAAAAACTGGTAAAGTGGTCTACCCAAACAAACATGGAAAGAACTGGACCAAATCCATCTGGTGCTGGAGTTTGTCGCTTTTCTTTTCGTGTCCCCTCTGAACACCTACAAAGCGTCCAATCCCGGGCAGTGCAAAGGGAGGCCGATTTGAAGAAACTGGCGCCACCGATGCGAACAGCGGCATCGCATCCTGCTAAAGCGGCGGGCGTCACCTGGGGGAACCTGATCGGAGTTCAGCAGGCAGGAGTCTGGGAGCATGGCTGTGGCTCATAAAAACCGGAGTTCCAAAATGGGTTGCCCTGGGAAGTAAAAACCTCCACCAACACCTGCGGTTCAATTCCTGCTGGTAAAGTTTGAGCCACGCCCACTTTCGTTTGGCCACTATGGTTCAAAAGTCTTGCAGTGAAGAACGTCTCCGAAGTCCGGGGGAGTAAGTAGGGAAAGTGACCCAAAGACAAGGCAGGAACAAAGAGAGAAGCACCGATTTTGGTGGTAACACGCAATCAAAAAGGAGCCTAATCAAAAGGAACCTGACTGGCCGAATTGGCGAAGAATGAATCTCCTTGAACCTTGGCCAGCAAAAAGGAAAAAGAGAAAAACATGTCCCAGAGGCTCCAAAAGCGTTGAAATGCGGTTTCAGCCATCCTTCCCCATCCCATGGCATCTGTTGGACATGGCCATGGGTCAAAACCCAAATCGTACCCCCAGTGAACATCCCAATCCAACCACTAAAATAGGTTCTAAAATGAGTGGTGAATTCACCTATCCCAAAATGGGATCCCGGAGTCGAGTCGAGTCGAGTCGCGGGCTCGGAGGTGTCGACGACCTTCCGCAAGACGAACAGCTTCTCCGTGGAGCCAAGGTAGAGCTGCCTTTGGTCGGGGTTTTTGGGGCATGGCTCGTCTTTCGTTTGGTTGGACGCCCAAAATGGGCGGGGGGGGGGGGGGGGGTGGTGGGGGTTTCCTGTTGGATTCTCTGGAAGCCTTCGAACTTTTTGGTCATGGGTTGGACACCCCAAACAAATGGGGCCTTTGCAAAGAACAAGGGACTCCACCGTGCGCTGAACCAAAAAACCCACGAGCCTCACCAAACCCACCCACCCACCCACGCACCCACCCACCCACCCACCCTACGCACGCACACTGCACGCACGCACGCACGCGTTGCAAAGAAGAAGAATACGAAGAAGAAGAAGAAGAAGAAGAAAACAAGTGGAGGAGCCTAAGCCAGGCAGCTCTAAGGACACCGAGAGTGGCACGAACTTCTGCTTGGTCTTCTTTCGCAGTCGCTTCCCACCAGGGCCTCAGGCGAAAACGCTTTAGGCACCGGATCCCCCAAAAATCAGGGAATTGATGTTTCAATTGATTTGGATGTTATCATATACCCTTGGGACACTGGCGCATGATGTGTTTTCGTTCTGGAGAGGCCCGTTGTTGCTCAAAAGTCAGTGGGGCCATCGTTGCGGTGCTCTTCTCAATTGCGAAGTGGTCCTCGACTCTCAAACTGCCAGTGAACATGGGGAGATCCGTTCATGAATTTTGGGCCCCATTTGTTGCCGGCCTCTGGCATTTTGATGGTTCTCCCATGTTCACTGAACTGGTGTCCCATGAATTCATGAACGGACTACTTGCTGGGACAAATCCTCCGTCCATTGGTTTCTGGCAGAATTGCGAAGCCCTCAAACTGCCAGTGAACATGAGACATCCCTTCATGGATTTCGGGCATATCCCCCATTTGTTGGGCAGTTTGCTCTAGGTCCTCCAGTCGAGAGGTTAGAATCAGGGTAGGGGAACCCTCCCAACCAAAAAAGTGGGTGAGAAAGGGCACCTGGCTGCGGGACCTAGGATAGGGATACGAATTTCGGGCATATCCCCCATTCATTTCCTTTTTAAACTTACCAAGTCTCCAGCAAGGCTCAAAAAAAAACATATCAAATATACGAATATCCCCCATTTGTTTCTGGCAGTTCGATGCTCCCAGCCGTTTTTGTGGCTTCCCTTTTCGCCCACGCCGGGTGCTTGCGCCTTGGAAGAGCCTCTCGGCCAGCTCCTCAGCATTCGCAGGCGGGCCGGTGTAGAAGAGCCGGTCTCCTACGAGCCAAAGAAAAGGGAGAAGCCACCAAGACGTACAGGCGGTGAGAAAATTTCACGCGGAAATTCGGAATCCGTTTGGAACAACCACCAAAAAAACAAGGTGAATACGAAATCCGAGCTTGGAACCACAACTCAAAAAAAGAAAACCAAAAAACTGGCCAGTTCAAGAGAAGGAAGAACTCCCTAGGCTCCATTCAAGCAACATCCTCCCCGAAGCAATTTGGAACACTCTGAGGGCCCCAGTCCCATAGAGCCGGGAGGTTTCTGCTTGGAAAGGCCAGCAGAAAAATCGGCCAGGCACTCTCCCCAGCCGCCGGGCGGAGCCCGGAGCTCATCTGGGCGGAGACCCCAAAGCTGTCAGCTTGGGAACTTGGCTGGCGAGACTCGGCAAAAAGTGGACAACTTCTTGGGAGTTTGGTGGAAAACACCTGTACTTCCCCAAGAAGTTGAAGTCTAGCGATCCAAGCCAATAGCCGCCAAGGGGAAAAATGGCCCGTCCTTTCTCATCATACTGGAGCCGCCGCTCGGGATCGCTGAGCACTTCATAGGCAAAGCTCACCTCCTTGAACCTCCAACTCCACTTCTTTCCGCAAAAAATGGAAGGAAAATGGGGGGGGGTCTCCTTTCGTTCTTTGAAACCAGGAGGACCATACTCCAAGGCATTGAATGAAACGATTCGCCGAAATGGGAGCCAGTTGTGATTGTCATGGTTAGTGCGAGGTCATTGTCTAGTCGCCTTCTCACCACACCAGCCCTACTGTGGGTGGACAAAAGCCTGCACCGCTTTGAAACCATGGGAAGCCGTTTGTTTGTTGGTATTCACAAAGGAATCATCCTTCCAGGGATTCTTCGGAGGTGCAAGATTTTGCCCATCCACAGTATGTGTCTTTTTGCAAACACCACCCAGCCTGGCCCAAAAAAGAGGCATGCCCAAACCCTTGACCGGGCCCGTTAGAGTGACATCCTCACAAGTCCCAAAATGGGCCGTCAAATGTAAAGCCCCAGTTGGGTGAAAGCAGATGGCACCAAAGAAAATATTCAAAGTTTTACAGCTATGGTTGAGAACCCCGGAAAGCGGGTGCATCCATCTCCAAAAAAAAAGTGACCCCAAGAAACGAATTGGGCTCTTCTCTCAGGCTTCCCGGTTTCCCCATCACAAAACAAAAAACTCCACGCGTGGCTCTCGGAAGGCCTCTCTTGATCCCCTCCTTTGTCCGGATGGTGCAGCGCGGCGAGCCTCCTGCGCTTTTTACATCCGTGGCACCGGTGTTAGCTGTCCCAACCTGAAAGAGCACCACCCAAACACATGTGCATGTATCTAAATATAGGAATGTAATGTAATGTAATGTAATGTAATGTAATGTAATGTATTGTAATGTAATGTAATGTAATGTAATGTATGTGTACATGTACGACAACAAGCAGCAAAATACTGTAAGTTACAGTGTGTTGACGAGAGAGGCACATATATCTCATATGCATATGTATAGGTATGTGTGTATATATATACACACCATATTCTATATATATATATATATGCATCTGTCTATGTACAGCTTGAGGTAGAAGACTTCTGGCGCGTGTTCACAAATACACCGTGAAATTCGGTGGTTTTATCTTAGCCCAATCCCAGGGGAGTTGACGCTGAAAGCGGGGCAACCGGGGTTGGGCCAACCGGGCTGGAAACCCCCTGACGGAGGACCCCATCTTGCTTAAACATGCTTAAGCCACGAGTGTCACTGTTCTGTCATTCACCGCATTTGAGTTTGCCTAAAGCGACCCATGGTCTGTTTACTTCAAACAAACTTGCCCAAGAACAGTTAAAAAAAGGAGCTTTGGAAGTCGCTGGCCAGCTTCTCAGGGTTCTTCGCAAATGCAACCCGCGGCTCGCGTCCTGTAGGATCGCTTCACCTCTGCTGGGCTGGCATCTCTTGCTAGCTCCAAGGCATCATACAGCGCGAAGCTCGCGTTGCGCGCCATGGCCGCATCGCGAGTTCCACTCGCAAGGCGGAACGGAAGTGGCGAGGTTTGGCATTGTGCACCTCTGCATGGCTCCGTTCTTTGTTGGAGGGGAACCGATTTTGCGGGTGGCTTGAAAGGGAAACCGAAAGGAAATCAACCACCTTCCCTTTGAGACAAACCCGCGCGGTTCTGTGCACAGAGCTGCCGCTGAAAGCCTGCGTCAGACTGGTGAGCGAGCACGGACAGAATCTGCTCAGAATGTCCTATCCTCCGAAGATGTGGGCGCGGTTTCTGTCCGGAGGATCTCTGAAACCCCCAAAATGTCCGGAAGTTCCTATCAAACTTATCCAACAACTTCCAAAATCACAGAGCTTACCCGGAAACTTATGAGAGCAATTGCCCATTCAGTGGGTGTAATCCTGGGATTGGGGAGGAAAAAAACAAAAAAAGACTCGGACCCTGGCAACAAAACCTTTCATCCTGCAAACGGAGGAATCTCGGGCTGACGCCCAGGCCGACAGGTGTTGGTTATCTTTGAGAACTTCAAGTTCGTCTCCAACTAGGAAAGCCAGTTGGAAAAGGTGGTCTCCGTTTTGGCTTCGAAGAATCCTTACTCCCTTCAAGCTGACTCCCGAAAAGCAAACAGAGACAACTTTGAGAAGCTTCTAGTCCTTGTTGTTCCTGACTCCCTTCAAGCTGACCCCGAAAGGTAACTTGAGACGCCTTTGTGTTCACCGGGCGGGGGCCAGGTACCAAGGGTCACGCCATTGCAGTGCGCCTGTGTTCGGGTGTGAGACGCTCCTTAGGGAGAAGAAAACAACAAAAAAAGACTGGTCAATTCAAAATGATGGCTTTACTTCCCGTTTTACGACGTCACGTCCCACTCCGACACCAATTTATCCACGGCCCAAAGGCTCCAAAAAGCCTTTACATGCCCCAGAAACCGAAGGCGGAAACCGGACCCGGTCTTATCGGAAAGGAAACCGGACCCGGTCTTATCCAGGAAAGGCTTCGAATCGCTCCACCTTCGGTGGGCCCCTCCACCAGTCGAGTCGCTCACGCGGCCCCGCGGCCCCCCGGCGCCTGTGGGAGTGCGCCGCCTCGACTCGGAGCGAGAAGAAGAAAATTCGGGTCGAGCGGCGTAGAGCGGGCGGTCCTTAAACAGGTTAGGTCTCGAGGAGATTTTTTTTTTTTTTAAAGAAAAAAAAGTAAAAAAAAAAAAAAATGAATGAACATATGAAAATTGGGGGGGGGGGGGGGGGAAGGGGCACCGAAGATGAATGAGAATGAGGGGGGAGGACATACCTTGAAGAAAGAAAGCTTCTGGTTGTACCGAGGTACAGATGGCAGTAGGCCTCTTGCCATCTTTTTTGCCTCACGCTCTGCGCTCCAAAGTAGGAGTCCCAGCGATAACAATTCGAGTCGTCGGTTTATGTGGTATGCCTTTTTGCCTGCATGCGTTCTGCGTGTCCTGCGTGCGCGTGTTTCCATGTCTTTGAAAATGCCAGCATAGGCCCGTGCCTGTGTCACGTCTGGGTTCCACTCCAACCGCCTTTTGCAGTGTAATGTTCTGGCCTCGGATGAATCCGAGGTCTTAGGATTCTCAGGGATCTGACAGGCTCACGTGTCCTCTTCCAAAGTTCCCGTTTTTTTCTGCTCGCCATCCTCCTCGCAGCCGAGGCGCCTAACTCCCATCAGGCTGCTCTCTGCCTGGCACCCCTCACCCCGGAAACTTGGGGCTTGCACCTTCTCGGCGGACTCCGCCATGCTCTCCATGGCACCTCCGGGACGAAAAAAAAATATTCGCGCTGACATGGGTGGTCAAAATGAAACCACTAGCAAACCACAGGATTTAGTCATTGCTTCCATTTACCAGGGTGCCATTTTGGGGTTACCCTATTTCTTACCCACAGCCACATGAAAGCCCAAGGATTGGGTTTCCTGTTGGCTAATCCCAGGGCCAAGCACCTGATCGCATGGAAGTGGCTTGGAAGAGGCTTCAAGAGGTCGACTTCCCAAAACAAAATCCGCCCAAAAGCTCCGGGAGAAAAACAAATCAAAAACGGCCGCCTTTTTTACCAAAATCAAAGCCTGATTTTTCTGGACAGCCACAAATAGAAGCGAATATCCTTGTGACTCTTCATAACCTTTTTTTTTGACATGGTTTTGCGACTGGCCGTTTGAAGTACTTGTGATGTATGTGTATACATTACTTCCTGGACCGATCTAGCCTTCAACATGGGAGTGTGCCGAAATGAGGTTTCCCATGTTAAAAGGTACTGTTTCCAACTTGGCCGCGATTCGAGTTTTCTGCGCGTACATGACCTTTATGTATCGGCTTCTGCAGGGGCTGTATAACATTATTCACCCCGGGGATAGTGGCTTGAGTGTCGGGGAAATCTTGGAGACATACTATGATACTCAATGTCAAATCAACTTGAGCTTGCAGTTTCGATTCGACATCCTAAAGGTATCGCATGAGACCTTCGCCTGCATGAAAGGCAAATAGATGCAAAAATATGTAACAATAGATGGGTATGGTACTAAGACGTACCTCAGCCACAAGCCACATGCTCAGGGTACTTACCTGAGCTGACGAAGAGACTTGCCAAGAAAAGTCCAAAGCTTGCTCATTCAGCAGGTGGTTGTGTCTTTCTTTGAAGCTGCCCTTTTTGGATTGCTTTGAAGGGAAAATAATAGGAAAACCACCATTCTGGTGGCCTCACAACAAGACATACCAGGTAGTGGTACCCTCGCATGAATCCCACCAGGTCACTTTCCATGGGAGGGTACCCAGAAGTCTATGCATGGTGCTAGGGTAAGGGACCTGTTGAAGGATATAGAAAAGGCAATTTGGAAGAGTATGCCCTGTGAACTTTGTCCACAGACCAACGGTCTTCCATGGCCCCACATCGACCATTCATTTCCAACACCTGAAACAAGTGGATGTGCGCTATGGATTTTCGCAATGGATTTCCAACACCAAGTGGATCCGCAATGGATTTTTCGCTCGTACCTCCGGATCGAATTCCCTCCAAACTCGAAACCCAAATACAATTGGCAGAAAAAGTCGCCTCCTGTGGGTATTCTCTCATGGGATGTCCCAGGGTCTGGTTCCTAAAGCAATCCTATAATACATTTGCTAACAACAAAAGAAGAAAGTGTATAAAGCAATATCCTAATACATCTGTTCATAATAAAAGAAACGATGTGTGAAAAAGAAATCTCATAAGCATCACCGCCGGTGCCAGTCAGCACCGAACATCCCGCGCGCCGCGAGCTCAGAAATCGCTCTGAGCGCCTGCCAAGGCGTGGGCACCCGAGGCGTAGCAGCACATGGCCCGGCACTTTGCGGCCTCACAGTGGCCGTGGAGCGCTGCATGGGGCGCGTGTCATCCACTCGGGGGGTGAGGCTCCCCGGATTTTGTTTGGTGGTTTTTTCAAACAAACCAACCGAGAAAAAGACACAAAAATTGTGGGGTCTAGAAAATAACAGGACAGACCCATTTTACTTTCGGAGGTTGTTTCACAATACTTGTCCAAGAGGACGTGGGAATGAAGGTTCGTCTGGCTTTTGTTGGAAATTTAGCGACATGGTCCTCCTACCATACATTTTGACCCAACCTCATGTGGAGTTGCAGAGGTAAAGGGAAAAGCATGCAGTTATAGGGGTCACTTCCTATGGGTTCCGGTGGTGTGAATCTTGGTTGGGGACTTTGTTGGGGAACGAAAAACCATGTGCCTGAGTGTGCGGACATTTATTCCCACCTAAACGATGTCCACCAAAGCACCCCCCAACTGCAAAATACGAGTGCGCCTTGTCGTGGGGGACCCCCAAAACATCGCTTTCGATTGTATCCTTCTTCGGTTTCCGGTTTAAACCGACCCAAAAAAAAACACGGTACCCCCACCAAAGGAAGACCAAAAATGTTGAGACACGAAAATCCACCGCCCGCTCGCATCCGCCATCCGCGGCCATGCCCCTGGCCTGGGCCTTTCGCCCCACGCAGCCGCAGGCCGCCACCAAGCCTTCGCACATCTCCTGATCCGAGTTCCAGGCTTTGTCTGGGAACGTTCCCGAGAGCAGACATCCAACTTGACTGGGCCAGGGCAGCTCTTTCCTGTAAAAACATGGCTTTGGGCCATGTTCATCTGAGCAAAAGGGCGAAAGAAGGCGGTCGCTTTTTGGGAAGAAGGTGGTTTTAGGGCCGGCTTGGGGGGGTCCCATGTTCATCGGCCGGGCCAATAAGGCTGTGCTAAAAAAAACTGGCTTTGGGGTCGCCATGTTCATCTGAGTACCCTGTCTAGATATACAGAAGGACCCCTTGGACCTTTTCAAGTCCTGGGGTGGACCGGTTCCCTTCAGGGACTGGGTCCCGATGGTCAGAGCCGGCGAGGCGGAGCGGAAGCTGTCAGTCTCCGTGCTTTCTTCTGTCCTTTTCTTCTCTTGTATGTGTTCATCTTTCCTTCATGTGTTTTGTTTATTTCCCTCTTTCCTCCTTTCCATCATTCTTTCCTTCCTTCCCCAGTAGGAGTAGGAGGAGTAGAAGTAGGAGTAGGGGTAGCAGTAGGAGTAGTAGTAGTAGTAGTTTTAATAGCTTTAGTAGCTTAAGTAGTCTTAGGAGTAGTAGTAGTGGTAGTAGAGGGGAAATACAAGTGGAAGAAAAAGTAGGTTTAGCGGCGTCATCGTTACTATTACTACTATCCTCCCCTTGGTTTAACCTAGGTTGGACCCTGTCATGATTCCAAGTTCATTCCCAAGCGTTTATTTGTCCACCTACATGTCACAATGGTGAATCGACCGGGTAAAGTTACATAGAGCCAAGCTAGCTTTCGCATCTCCGGAGACGCCGATTCGCGCACAGGGCCACGCTTTTTGCGACTTTCTCATCTTCGAAAATGCCGATTCACGCACAGGGCCACGCTTTTTGCGGCTTTCTCTTCCCCTGCCATACGCGCGCGCACTTTTTCTCGCGGAGGCTTATTCCTTCTCTTGTCATTTGTCTCAGAGAGCTAGCTTTCAATTAGTTGCCGTAACACGGAAGTTCCTTCTAAACTTCCT